GAACGCCTTGGCATTCCCCTGGAGGAGCTGGAGGAAGTGTCTGGAGAGAGGGAGGTCTGGGCATCTTTGCTTAGACTGCTGCCCCCGCGACCCGGTCCCGGATAAGCGGAAGAAAATGGATGGATGGATGAATAGAGCACTGTCCTCCACCTTGAAATTCAGTTGTGGCACAGATAGAGTACAGATGTCTGTTTACTCATTTTGTGCTGCTTCTGTTTGGGTTTCTTGAATGACTGGACATTACTCTGACATCTGCAGAAAGCTAGCTCCTGAATCCAGCAGGTAGCTCCAGCTCATCGAGTCAAATGCAGTGGATTTGATACCTTGTTAACAAACACGAAGTGCAGTGTTTTCCATTCTGTCTTGCTCTCAGATGCAACAATGGCATAGCCAGTGGCAGCTAGCCACCCCGAGACAGGACACCTCCAGTTACAACAGTCCCAAAACTGCAGCATGTCAAAGTTGTTTGTGATTCACAATTGCAATAACACTATGTACTGCACTTTAGGCATTTTATACATTGTGCAAAACACAGACGGGATGCCAGTGTATGATGCTTTTCCTCTAGGACAGTTTGTCCATTACTGACTCCATCTGATATCTGTGTTGATATGTGACTTACAGAGTAATGAGGAGAACTCGCTGGTGGAAGAGCTGAGAGTCCAGCTGGCTCAGAAAGAGAGGGAGCTGCAGTTGATGAAGGAAGGAGCAGAGGAGCTCAACTTACTCAGACAGCAGAACTACCTACTGCAAAGCAAGGTGCATAGACTCACTCACAGCCCAGGACCTTTCAAAGCCAAATACTATTTACATGTGCTCTGGCAGTTTTTGTTACAAACATTTATTACTGACATTATGAGTGTTTACTACATTTTGTGATTTAGAGCAGAGCTGGTTGAAATATGAATTACTGACATTCTGAGTGCAGTACTATCAGGTGTGGCTGTAGTAGGACCCCAAGGGTTAATATTTAAATTATGAATGGCTGTAGAACCACTGTCACAGCTGCCTGATTATTATATTGAACAAACTATGGAAAACCACCTCCTGGCCTTCCACTCTTCTGTGAGAATACATGACAGTTTGTAAAGGTTTCTATCAATGCAGAACTTGAAGACTGGGAAACAGGAAAAGGAACAAAAACAAAGTAGTAAGAAAAGAGAACGAAGCAAGCAGACTCTGAGTTCAAAGATGGTCGCTGCAGCTGTTATCAACTCTGTTTTGTAGATGTTCCATGCCTTTCTTGAGCTGCAGTTAAACAGTGCTTTGTTCATGCTGGAAATGAGTATCTGCGATTCAGTGAATGTCCCAACACTCCTCTCTCTGTGGATATCATACAAAACACTGTAGGACCAAATAGAAAAATAAAGGAAAGAACATACTGCTCTTAGAAATGTTTATGTAGGCTTTGTGTGTGCTGTGTAGCTGTAGTGTTTATAAATAAAATATGTTGTTTTTGCAGATGGTCAGTATTGATATGCTCAGAATGCAGTGAAAGTGCTGGGCATCCCTAGTAGTAACTGTGGTACATGAATATGTAGTGAATAAGCTGTTTGTTTTTCCACTCTTTAGCTGCGAAATACAGAAGAAGAGAATCAGAAGAACAGATGGGCTGAGGCCACAGACCCTGCAACAGCGGAAAAGCTCCAACAGATTGATAAAGAAATGAAAGAGCAGGAGACACTCATAAAAGGTTACCAGCAGGTTTGTTTCCCTGAACTCTCACTGGTTTGACTTTAGGCTATACACTTGTAAATGAATCCATGCTTTTTTCTTTTTCGCTTTTTTCATTTTTGTCTGCTTGTTGCCTTACAGAAGAGCATTGTACATACACAATGAGAGCCACTGTACCAGAGTCAAATTCCTCCTGTGTTCAACACATCTGCTCAAAAAAGCTGATTCTGACTTTTCTTTAGTGCAGGTGAATTTAAAGTGATTAAAATGATGAGCTGATTAAGTGCATGACAACGCTCTCCATGATTTTAGATGCATGAGGGCATGACAAGCTATTTGCCCCACTTCAAAGTCATCATGCATGAGCTAAAAGTTAACTGACAGTAGATGGTGGTGGTCATGAAGATGACTAAAAAGATTTGAAGTGTTTCCTCCTTTTACACCAGTTTTTATATCTGCATATTCTGCAGACATGGTATTCATCTTCACTTAAGTCTTCCTCAGAACTCTTGTAAAAACGAGAATATGGCCACACTTCCAACTTAGTCTTCTTAGATGGATGAAAGGTCTCAAGGGCACTGCCGCTGCATTCTGCCATGGTTTCACTGACCCAAGCCAACACTCGATATAAAACTAAAGAAAGATGCAACAAAAATCTACTTGCGTCTCAATAGCTAAAGATGATGTTTTCTTTCCTTTTTTATTTTTTTCTTGTTCCATTAAGCCACAGTAAATTACAGCTTCTCATTTACAGGAGAATGAGAAGCTGTACTTGCAGTTGAAGGCTCAGCAGGCCAAGATTATTGCCAATGAGGAGGCCATGTTTAATGAAAACCAGAGGCTGTTGAATGAACTGGCTTTCACAAGGTTGGTTTTATTAATGCATCAGAGTTGTGACCTATTTGTAAATGCAATTGTTTGTGCCAATAATATTGGCCCACGTTTTGAAACTTCATATAGTTGTTTTTTCAGGTTGGTTTTATGGTTTTTGTATTCTTTATTGCATTTTTTTTCATCTTCATTTTTTTTCATTTTCACCAGGGAACAGCTGAATAAAATCTCATGCCATGTGGGAAATGTAAATTCAGTCAGCCACACTCAACGCATCACAGACTTGTTAACTCAAATAAATACATTTCAGGCAAGTACAGCTGTCACTGAAATACTGTTTACTGAAGATTTGACTCGACCCCCTCACTTACCATTAAAATGTGACTGTGTGCAGGGGAATGAGGCTAAGCTGTCCGAGGACATTCACAGACTGGAGCAAAAAAAACTGACTCTGGAGGTAGAACTGCAGCAAATGAAGAAGGAGAGAGACCAGGCTAAAGCCAAGGCTATCTCCACCTCAGGTAAAACTGGACACAGAACATTGGTGGAATTTCAGTCCAAAGACTAAGGCCGTTTTCAGATAGGATGCGATGGGTGCTGCACTCCACTATCAAACCATTCATGTCTATGTGTTGTGCAGTGCAAAAACATATCTGCGTGCAAGGATGCACGTGCTGTCCCTGCAAGCTGCGTTGAAGTTTAAAAAAAAAAGTTCAGTCTGGATACAGTGCTCTGTGATGACACATCAATGCGTCCAATTGCAGAGAACCTGACAGATCACAAAGGAGGAGACACATGGAGGAGAAGCTGATTTTGTCAGACCAACATCCTCTTCTTCTTCACTACAACTCATCTCCTCTTCCTCATCAACACAACTAAAGCCAGAGCTTTTTGCTGACATGTAGATAGATAACATCGTGTATCCATGTCCACTGCTCGAAAAACTAGTTAATATCTACTAACCACCTCATGGAAAGCTATTTGGTCACCTAGCAACTGGCACCCAACATGTGTGTAATTTGTGCATGTGTGCCTTCCTCCTCTGTGCTGCCCCCACCCCCCGTAGCGAGTGCAGTGCATCCTATCTGAAAATGGCTTAAGGCCGTGGGAAGTAGGGGTGTGAAGGATGTTGCAGCACCCCTGTAAAATAGTAGATGATCTTCATGTCTGCCACAATTATAAATTAAAAACATAAGCATTATTTATTTAATATTTTTTAATTTAATTGTAATTGGGTATGTTCATATTCTAATAATATTTTGATCTTAGTAAGCAGTTAAGAGTGGATCTTGGGTTCCACATTTGCAAAGGGTTTGGCCAAACCACATCTGTTTGCAACAAGTACTGTATGTGACCTTTCTCAGAAAATGGTGGCGCAAAAGTGAATTTCGGATTTCTTTATTTAAACATCAGAAAGAGCAAAAACTAATGGATCAGAAGCAATATCTGAAAGCAGCACCAGCACCTGTAGCACACATGATAGCCCATGTACCTTATACGAATACACAGAGACATTGTCAAGCAATTGGATGATAAGAAGTTTCATCATTGTAAACCCTGAAGTGCAAGAACATTTTAGGAGAATTAACATAAGACTAATTGGTCTATCATTAGCCTATTATTAACTCTTCATTTGATGACACTTTCTTTGCCTCTTATACTGTATTAGTGGCTGATGCTGTTATCAAGATATTTTGTAAAGCTGCCTTTCATAACATCCATTGTATAGCCAATGCATATGCTGTGCACTTTGTGTATGCTTTCTGACAGGTCATAGCCTGCTTTGCAAGTAAATAACAGTGTTGGTGGTCGCTATTTTATCATCCATAGTGTTTGTTGTGTTAATCTGGCTTTGATATGAGCCAGTGCACAGCCGCTGTTCTGTGTGTGTGTGTGTGTGTGTGTGTGTGTGTGTCTCCTATTTTGTGTTTAATTGGCCTACATGATTATTATTCCTTTCATAGGGTAGTGTGATACTGTATGTTCATCAAAGTATACAACACATTTTTTATATAATCACATAGGAAAACATGCACAACCAATTTTGCAGTAAGTATGTTATTTATACAGATCTTTCACATAGGTGTGTTTAGGGTGCTGTATGGCAAAGGCCACTGAAAACTTGAATATTAAAAGATAAGCATAATCTTGAGACAGTGTATATCCATTCTGACCATGTTAGGTGATCAAACTTTTGAGATGCGTGTATTAGAGGACAAGCACAGAGAGAAAGTGGCTGTACTGGAGAAGAAGCTGCAGTGGTTTGCTGAGAACCAGGAGCTGCTGGACAGAGATGCTGGCAGACTGAAGGCTGCTACAGCAGAGATACATAAACTCAAAGAGCAGGTGAAGCCCTGATACCATATATACTTATTATCTCATTTACCTTCAGTATAACTTATACAAAGTCATCCTTATACAAGTGTAGCCTTACTGTTGATAACACACCTTCACAAAGTCAAAATTACACAACCCAATTTTGAATTCTGTTTTCATGTCTCCACAGGGGACATGGCCCAAATCAAAGAAAGTGATGCTGCTTTGTATGTAGGGGTGTGGAGTATAAGGCAACATCACAAATGTGTTTTGGTTGTTTTTTTCCTGGTCTATAGGACAAAATTACCAGATTTTAACTGGAAGAAGAAAAAGAACTTGTTACAAAGAACACTACATTGGCAAGAAAAAGTAATTGAACCATTTGGAATGACCTGCTTTACTTTTACATGAATTGGTCATAAGTCACAAATATAGACAAGCACAATGTGCTTAAACTGATACCATCCAAGCCATTAAAAATTGAAAGTACAGTTGGAAAAAGTAAGTAAACCTTTGGATTTCATAACTGGTTGAACCACCTTTGTCAGCAGTAACCTCAAGCAAGCGCTTCCTGTAGCTGTGGATTAGACCTGCACAACATTCAGGAGGAATTTTCTTCCTGACAGAACAGCTTCAGCTCAGCCATATTCTTGGGATGTCTGGTGTTCTCTGAGCTTAATCTACAGCATCTCTGAAATCTGGACTCTGACTGAGACACATCAAATGGCAGATTCTATAATGGATTTACTTTAATGTGTCACTGTCCTGCTGCATCATCCAACTTCTACTGAGCTTCAGACGGAGGGACAGTCACCCTGATATTATCCTGTAGAATTCCCTGTATATTGCCAAAAGTATTCGCTCGTCTGCCTTCACATGCAAATGAACTTGAGTAACAACCGATTCTTAATCCATATGGTTTAATATGATATTAGCCCATCCTTTGCAGCTATAACAGCTTCAACTCTTCTGGGAAGGCAGTCCATGGACTGTATTTTTATATAAATGGACTGTATTTTATATAGCGCTTTCTCACAGTGTGTTACACTGGCCAAAGCGCTTTACAGGAGATTATACACCATTCACCCATTCACACACACATTCACACACCGCTGACGAGAGGCTGCCGCACACTGGCGCCAGTCGAACCACCGGGAGCAATTTGGGGTTCAGTGTCTTGCTCAGGGACACTTAGGCATGCGGGGAGACCAGGAGTCGAACCACCAACTTGCTGGTTAGAAGACGACTGCCCTACCTCGTAAGCCACAGCCACCCCAAGGTTTAGGAATGTGTTAATGGCAATTCTTCCAGAAGCGCATTTGTGAGGTCAGACACTGATGTTGTACGAGAAGTCCTCCATAAAGTACACACCTAACCATCTTGCTAAAATGAGAGTTTGTTAACATGACATTGGTGGAGTGGTTAAAATCAGTTTTAATGACTTTAACCTAAGTGTATGTAAACTTCTGACTTCAACTATAGGTGTTTTCAATAGACATGAAAAAATGATAAATGTTTGTATGTCATTAGCTGAAGCACATTGTGTATTTGTGACTTAGATGAAGATCAGATCACATTTTGTGACCAATTCATACATAAAAAACAGGTTATTCCAAATGCTTCATTTACTTTTTCTTGCCATTGTAAACCTGTATAATTCACTAATTCAGGTGGATTTCGCATTTAAAACAGGCTACCCTGCCAGAGAGATGCTGCCATTGACACTTTAGTTTTATTTGTGATTGACTGTCTGCAGTTTAGAGATGTCTCAGTCACAGATATTAATAAATGTACTGAATTTTACAGTATAACAATCTTCCACAGTACAGATCCTGGTTTCCAATTTGTAGCTACACTTGTAACCTCATCTGCTAAAACAGAATTTACAGCCTTAATTCATAATGTTCTACACCCCTCCTAGATACATAAGTGCTATAAATAGATGTTTTTTGAGAACTGAACACTAATGCTTAGTGTGCCTGAGGTATGTGGGCATCAACTGTGTGAGGTGGCTGCTGATAAAAGAACAGACCTGGTATGATCCATGATGTGGGGCATTAAGGGTGGTGAAAGACAGTTTAACATTGCTTACGGTGTTGTACATGTTGCCTTCATTTCAGGTGGAAGAGCTAAAAATGGAAGTGAGAAAAAGAAGCAGCAATCAGCAGAGAAAGGCCAAAGAGAAATCTATGGACACAAAGAGGATGCAGGACCTGGAGCGACAGGTTTCTGACACAACCAAACAAGATAACTATTCAAACTTGTTACATCCCTTTACCACACCAGCTTCCATTTCTTCTCTGGTTAAGAGTGTTTCTGCTTTTACTAGGTGAAGGAGCTGGAGCAGATATTGGGGCATAGAAACCCAAATTCCCTGCCTGCTCTGATCTATGCGGCAGCCAGAGCTGGTGGTCAGAAGGATGGAGTCATATCTACGGCATCTCCGCCCAGCCGGATCAATACTTTCCTGGAGCGCAGGATTCAACGTCTGGAGGAAGAGCTGGAGAACCATGATGAGGAGGCCAAACACAGTCTGAGGGCCATGGAACAGCAGTTCCATAGGATTAGGGTACAACTGAAGTAATGAAGTTCAGTGCAGTAGTTTGTCAGCAGACAGTACTGATATAACAAGCATTTGCTCAATAATTGAAAAGACATTGTCATGAATCACATGAAGGGTTTGGAATACTTGATGAAGCCGCTGTATATGGCACATTCACCCAAAGTGTTGGTTTACTCATACAAAAAAGCCATGTATTCTCTTCTAGTGGTGTTTCCCTCCTCTCTATGCAGGCAGTTTTGGTCCTGTTTGTCCAGGTTTTGAGATTTCTGTGCACTGAAAAAGACATTTCAAACATTTAACTAAGACCTATCTTTCCAGAAATGTCCTTGTTACTCTGAGCAATACATGGAATCATTTATACTGGAAATGCTTCAGGTTGAGGAAATAGTCCCTGCAAAATCTGTTTGTTTTGGTAGATTATTCAGGCTAACAGTTTTTCAGTGGCAGAAATCCCCAAAACATGTACAAATAAAACTAAAATTATCTGCATGGATGGATGGAGTCAAGAGCTAAGTAAAGATATGTTTTTGTTTTTCCAAAGTAGTGGAACTTGTGGGGAAAACAGGCTTTGGCACTGAGAAACAGATACATCCCACTGGTGTACAGTCTTTTACAGTAAAGAAAAGCGAATTGTTGCCAGATTCTATTATATGTCATTAATAAAAACAGGCCTTTGCTTCCAGTTTTAAAAATTCAGTGCTAAATGTGATCATAGATTGACATAAGATCATTTTTATCTCATTAATATAAACTAAAATGACCCAGTGTTTATTAAATGAATTAAAAATGTATTCATTCAGAAACGCTTAAGAAAACAGGGTGAAATTTCAAAAGAAATAGCCAAGAAATACATGTCTTTGTGTGCTCTGTTTAGCTTCGTTACGAGCAGCAGATCTCAGAGCTGGAGCAGCAGCTGCAACAGATGCAACAGGCTGAAGCAGCAAGCTTAGCAGCTGGGCCCAAACCATGGATGACACAGGTCCAAACTCTGCAGGAAGAGCTACAGCAGCTGAAGGAAACCCAGCAGGAGAAAGAGAAAGGCCTCCGTGACCAGATAGAGTCGCTCCAGCAGCAGCTCAAACAAAAGGTTGTTGCAGGAGCTACTAAATACAAATAACATTTCTTAGCTTCACTGTTAACTCAGGCATGCTATCACAGATAGATCTGTGGAGATGAGTCAATGGAAGGTGTATTAAACACAGAAATGTGACATTCTTTGCTCTGGACCTTTGAAATATCTCAGTTTGCTGAATATTGGGCTATATATGCGATTAAAACAAAGTCTTACTTGTCCATACAAACCAATCTAAACCTTCCTTCCCCACAGGCCAAGCCAAGTCCAGGCCGACACCAGCGTCAAGCCGAGGCAGCATTTGGTGTTCGGATAGAGAGGTTAAACCAAGAGCTTGCTGCCAAGACACGTACCATTCAGGAGTTGACCCGCACTGTTGAGAGACTTCAGAAAGAGAGGAGGAGCAGCCCACGACCAGAAACCCGTTCTACAGAGACCAAACGACAACCAGACTCGACTTGTGCTACTGCAGCAGAGACAGGTGGAGGGGAAGAGATGTTTCCAGCTGCTCACTATGAGAAGACCTACCAGCCCACTGTCTTTACAGGTGTGAATGTGGACAGTTTGTCATGGTCAGCTTTGTTCTGCATGATTAGATAAATACTATTGTTGTGTTATGCCCTAATATCAGAATAGCAGTTCTTGTTAAACCATCCTTTGCTTAAACTGGAACCACCCTGGATTTAAGTCAAATCCAAACCACATTTCAAGCAGTGCAGCATGCAGTGATGGACAGTAAATAAGTACATTTAATCAAATACTGTACTTAAGTACAGTTTTGAGGTATTTGTACTTGATAGATGAATACTGAAATATTTCCATATGCTGCTACTTCATACTTCAACTTTACATTTTAGAGGCAAATTCTGTACTCTTTACTCCACCACATTTATTTGAAAACATGAGTTACTTTTCAGACTCAGATGAATTAAACATCCAGAATAAAAATAAAAATAAAAATCTAGAAGGCCAATCATCAACTTTACTGTTCCACGGTGGGAAATTCCCAAGCTACCCAGCAGTAGATCACGTTATATCCATATCATATAAGGTAGTTAACATCAGCTCTACCTTTACCAGCTGCAACATTAGAATGATGACCTCAATGTATTAAGAATTATAATTCAATAATATGATATATAAACGTGAAATGTGCCTTTCTGCATAATGACTACTTGGCACAAGTCCAAAATGATTAAAAAAAAAACACAGACTTGAGTGTTACAGGTCCTGGTTATGAGATAATAGGAAACTGGCCAGTGATGCCTCTTTATCTGAAAAAGGGAGAGTGCATGTTATTGTTGTCAGTGTTTTATCTGATTGGAAAAAGTAAAACAAAGACAAATACTTTTTACATCTATTGTTATTTTTTATGAATGTGACAGCATACAGCATTACATACAATGAGTGTATTCAGTTTACTTGAATTATACAGAAATAGCGCTTTATCTAAAAGGACAGTTCAGTTTTTCAAGTCTATATTAAAACAGCCCTTATGTACATTGAAAGTATTATTGGTCACTGCAAATCCCTCTGCAAAGTGATTCTAGTGTAAGAGATGAGGGTCAAAATCTGCTCTTAATGTTTTTTTTTTTTTTTTTTTAATTGATGCCTGTGTTTGTATAAGTGATGGCATGTGTTTAACGTCCATGTTCTGTATACTATGCCTGAAAGTGCTGCATTTATTCAATTGCTGTAGTTGAAGGCATTACAACATATCTGATCATTCCATTTTAATTTTGCATCCTTCTGGCAGGGAGTCATATCTCAGAGGTTCTGCAGGAGAACAAGACTCTGAGGCAGCGCCTGGAGCAGTTGCAGCTGCAGAATGAACACGAGAAGGAGGCATTACAGACTGAAGCTATACAAGCTAAGGAGGAGCTGTGCAGGTATGTGTATCTGTGAACACAAAATACATTTTCTGCAGAGCATGAATATGAAGGAGCAACAAGATGTTATGTGCTTGTTTAGGCTGAAGGATCTGTCTGCAGAGCAGCTGTCCTCTATGAAGGCAGAACACCTCAGGGTGTTGGACCAGCTGTGTGCCATCCATGCCCTGGAGCATTCTTCCTCAAAAGTTGCTGAACTGGCCAATAAGCTTAGCACTCAGGAGGTATGGGCTCACTAACCAACCACTCTCATGTCATCAGGAAGTACTGAAAATGTTTCTCTTGATTTAAACTTCACACTCACCTGCAGGTAATGGTGACACATTTGCAAGACCAACTAAAAGAGCTGCAGGGAGCCAAAAATGCACTGGCAGTATCCAGGACTCGAGAGGATGCTCTGCAGACGCAGGTGAGCCGCTGGAGAAAGGCTGGTGGCGTTTAAATTCTGATGGGTCTTTGTACTTTTTTTTTTAATGCAGGATGAATTACAAGGCTATTTTGCTGGTCAGTGGTCTTCCAGATTTGTTTGTAATCAGATATTTATTTATTTATTGGCAACCCAAAAAGAACTTTGCCTCCCACCTTATGCATCAGTTATCTACAGTATATTACTTTTTCCTGAATAGGGTCGCTGGAGCCAATCCCAGCTGACACTGGGCAAGATGCATGGTGCACCCTAGACAGGTCACCAGTCTGTCACAGGGCTGACACACGTACACTCGCTCCTACGAGCAATTTAGAGTCTGCCTCCCACCCTAGTCATGAACAAAGATATCCAAATACTTAAGTCAACACTGTGACAGTGACACACTCTTATTCCATCATTCCATTGCCAGCAAAAACCTTTCTGTACTCAAACCAGCTGGCCACCTTTTGGCTTGGGCTGCCAGGCCCCAGTACATGTTTGTTTCCATTGCACAGCGTGAGCTTTGCTCTTGCAGAGTACGTCATGGTGCCCTCTGTGGTGCGACCAGAACAGATATCAACAGTAGGCACTCAACAGAGCAAACATGAACTTAACAAACATAGTTGTTGTACTGGCCTCATTTCTTTATAATGCGCTGCTGTTTCTTCTTTCATTTTTTTTAAAGGCAGGTCTCTTTCTTTGACTGAGACACTTCCCCATTGTCTAAGTTTTCTCTCTGCCAATCAGAATGTACTGATGTAGCTGGCTTGGGTGGGGGCAGAGTAGCATGCTTTGGGACCTGCTTTTGAGCAGGGTCAAGTATCACGATTTTCAGCCTGAGCGTGGTCCATTTCTCTCTGGTCCGAGTCACTGGATACCTGCAAACCCTGGTATGGTATGGGTACAGTACAGTTCCCGGTGGCAGTGGAACACCGGTATTGGATTCAATATTTATTAAATGCACAAATATAAAAACATGTTCTAATAAAGGTTTCAGGCACCAGATTAGGGCTGCATGATAAATCGTTTCATGAGTGTGATTTAGATCTCTGTGTGATCTCATCTCGCGCAACAATAATCCTGCCATGTTTGCATTAGCAGGGAGATACCTTGCATCAAATCAAGCGCTCCCTTTTCCTCACTAAGCTGCGTTAACCAATAACGGGAAATGTGTTACATCATGTGACAAGAATGTAGACAGGAAGACTGAGTCAAAAACAAATCCAATGTGTTTGACATTATGATAGATGTTCTGTGCCCTCCTGCAAGTTTTTTCTATGTTGCCCTGTAGTTTATTTTATTTGAGCCACCACACATAATGCAATAAGTATAAACAATATAAAATGTTACAATCAAAGTAAATACAAACAGTATAAATAAATAAATATGTATTTAAAGAGTGAAAATGCTCAGGCAGAAGCAATGCTTGTTATAACCCCAAATCAGAAAAGGTTGGGATGGTATTTAGATTATTTTATTTTGTGTGTGTTTTTTTCCTCATAATTACACCCACACACAGTAGACACCCAAGATAAAATCAAATAAAAAAAGAGCAATTAATCCAAATACCTTACAATAGTATTTATCTAATCATGCAGAGCAAAGCTGACCTAATAACCTTATTAAAATACAGCATGTGGAATTGTCACTAACAGATTCATAATACAGTATGAATAACCAATAAAGAAAAGAGTCTACAAATACTTGAAAAATAAGCCATAAGTACAGGTCATTAAATATACCTACAATTAATGTAGATTTGAATTTAAAAAATAAATAAATGCTAAAAACAATCAAATTAAGTGAGGTTAAGAAGACTGAAGGGATGAAAGACAGGCCGGCTGCAGCCCTGGCATAGCTGCAGTGTTTGGTATCCAGCTGGTGATCAGAGGGCCATTGGCATGGGAGTACTGCTCCAAGTCATCAGTCATTTATTCCAGTAATTCAGTCCTCTGGTTACTTTGATTGTTTGTAAACCTCAGCTCACAACCTCCTCCATTAGACCCATGAGGGTAACTTGCTGTTTTACCACTTTGCTGATCTCCTCTGACAGAAAACTGGGGGAATAAAAAAAAAAAAATCTACACCGATTCCTCTGCCAGTATTTTGGTTTTAATCATTATCTTGTTTTCCCAGAAAGTCACAGCAAAAAAGATTTTGAGTAGACTTCATGTAAAACCACTTCGCTGTGCTCCCAGGGCCTTAACAATGTCCTTGATCGAAAAAACACCAAATTGACAAAACTTTTCAGAAGTATGGAAGTTGAACATTACTGTACCATCTGCAGTGATTTTAATTTTAAGTGAATGTCACTATAAGCTTTTAAAAACTTTTTTTATAAGGCTAATATAGAGGCTCTATGCAGGGAAAGGCACAGGCAGCCATCTTGGTATTGCCTTTTTTTTTCTTTTCTTTCTTTCTTTTCTTCATATTTTAACATTCACCTTGTGTGCAGTTGACCAGTCTGCTGAAGGAGCTGAAAGAAGCTAAAGAAGCTCAGAGCCTTGAAGCGAAACTTCTGCATAGCCTGGAGAGAAAGATCTTCAACATGGAGCTCAGGCACCAACACAGACAGAAAGAGCTACAGCAGGTGTGAATGACATAAGTTTTTTCTGTTTAGAAAAGCTTTAAGAAATGTTTTAACCACAAACATTTTCTGTTTCCTTGTGATTATGTACTGCTTTATTAGAAATCATTTTTGAGGTGCTTTTTGGGTTACTTTGGAGCCATTCTTGAGCCCCACAGGCCTTTCCACTACAGGATTTTTAACAGCCTGTAACATGAAGCTTCCCATAACCTGATCCTGTAAGGTCTAGGTAATAGTTCCTGTGTTCTGTTTGCCCATGCTCACATTCCGCTTGTTACATAGTAACATGGTATACCAGGATACCATCTTAATAGCAAGTGTGATTTTATGGGTTTAAATTTCAACAAATCACAATTTTACAGTCTAGATCAAGGAATGAATTGTCAAGGTCAGCATGATTCAGTGTTTCCGATTCACAAATCAAAAGTTGTTGGCTACTGGGAGGATATGGTGCCTGCATTTTCTGACCACAAATAGGCTGCTGTTCACCATTCTGTCAGACTGTGTTGTATTGTTGATGTACCACAATTTGCTGTTACTTCAGCTGGCACAAGCGGCATGTGCCAATTTTATTGGAATGGAAACCACGCCGATTTGGCACATAGCTGCACCATGCCGGTCACAAAATGCAGCAGTAGCTGCCTTGCTTGCTTTTCATAAATAATACATCTCCCCTTCTTGAACAATAATATTAATCATATCTGAGCTTTTCTTTCGTAAAGAGAAAGTAACATGCAGTGATGCAGTGTTTGGTTGTGCTGCCCTGCTATTAAAAAATATGCTACTATTGGACATGTCCCATGATTCTGAAAATGTCAAAGCTATCCAGACATTACTGGGAAATGTAATTAGTTTTTAAACTACTCCAAACACTGTGTACACAGTCTACATTTTACACAGACAAATACAGAACATTGCAGCAAAACACATCCTGTGTTTTAATTAACTATGTTTGCCATGTTGCAAACCAGTTGTTACATTCCTTCTCTCCCCGAGCATCTGAAGTAGCCTCTGAAGTGTGGAGAATACAGTGGAAACACAAGCAAGTTGTTAAGCTCCCGTAGTATCAAAGGCCTAACAGATACTAATAACTTGATGTCATTGGTGGATGGGACGGAGTAGATCCGTCACGAGTAGCTGATAAGTTATACGGAGTAAACGCCGTCATTTCCACATGCGCATAGAGAAAACAACATAGTTAAGTGGCAGTATTACTTACCGGGTTTCAGGTGATTTAGTGTATCTCGTAGGTTCAAACGTGGCGGCCATTTCTAAAGCCGTTAAATATGGTGATGTGTGTGTCATGTGAGTAGTCGTCACTGTGACGCGACTGGGATGGGGCGGAGCCTAGGGTATTAAAGGGGACCCAGGTCCCACCATGAGTTTTAGTTGGTTTTGAGCTGCATAGAAGGGTGTATCTGTCTGGGGGAGAAAATGTCTAAGAACTGTTTTAATTCGTTTTTGTAAATATTGGGCTATTTTTCACCTGAGGATGAGCACAATAAATTATTGGTTTTCACTGCATATACGACTACGCCATCTTTTTATCCGGGACTTAAAAAGAACCACGTCACAGTGACATAGATGACAGATGCAATATACAGTGTCAGAGATGTTCAGTGGACTGTGAATTGACTCATTGACTTTCTCACCTAGTAGCCAAAGCATTTGAAGGGTGAAGAATACAGAACTGAACAGAACTGACCACCCCTCTGCCTGCAGGTGATCGGTGGGTCGTGGCAAATGCGGGAGGCTAATCAGCATTCAGAGGTGGAGCGCTGGAGGCGTCTGGCTCAGGACAAGAATAGAGAACTGGAGGCTTTTCGGCTGGAGCTGGACTCTATCCTGGACATCCTGAGACATCTCCAAAAACAGGGAGTGGTCTTTCCTGCTCCTGACACCCCCATACCCCCTCTCACCCAGAGGACTTGATGCACACAGAAGGTTTGACATAAGCTAATACTTAGCTTAATTAGCTGCTTTACCATCAGCAATGTTTAATGTGGGTGAATCAAATCTGTTTTAGTACACATACTTGTACCTAGTTCTTATGGTTGTATGCATATTTTGTAGCTAGTTTCTGTTTTTATTTAATCTGAACTACTGTAATTTAAGGTGTGAAAATTTTATATTAAATATTTTTTCAAGTCTCATCTGTGATAAACCGTATTGAGAAACTCCTTGATTCACTCTACACTGGAACACCTGTCCTGATACCATAAATTGTTAATCACTTTTATTGGCCAAGCTGAAGTAAATTGAATCTAATCCACCCTATGCTAACATGACATGATTTCTATATCGGTACTATTCCAAAGACTTTGGAGGATACTTACGAAAGAGCTGGATCTCTTTTAGGTGCTAAACAGGTAAATTAACAGATGATAAATGGCAGAACTGAAAACATTTAAAAACCATGTTTAGGTAAACACAGCATCTATTTCAGGATGTTCCCACTGGGGCCCAGAATCGGGGAAGAGGGTTACAAATATCCATTCGAAAGTGACTTTCACTGTAGTTATTACTTGGCATTAGCAGTAACTTGAACACATCAGATCTGCTCTGCGTCTGCCATGTGGTGAAAAGATGGGATGACGACAGTGTTTCTCTTTCTGCTGTATCAGATGAGTGGCTCAGGCTGACAGAACAAATTTATTCTGTCAGGTTCCGATCGGATTTTCAGGACTCATCAGTGCACTTCAGTTGCTTTAATTTGTGAAGTCAAAGCACTACTGGATCTAGCACCAATTGGCCTTGGGCAGATTATGGAGGACATCAGCCTAATGTGCTCTCTGTATGCTGGTGGGGGGTGTGTGTGTGTCTCCTGGCTGAGTGAACCACCAGAGCATCAGGGAGCTCCAGCACCGATGTGGCTCACAGTTATCAAGTTTCTCTTGAACCTGTTGGATTGAGTTGAGCTCAGGGTTCAGATCAGCTGGAAACAGCAGAGAAGCATGAACCACTTCTGTAAGAGGCTGTAGGTTTATTGAAAGCCACTTGTAATGAGACTCACCTGTGTGAAATGCTCTTCACCAGCCCTATGCAGTCACATTATCCTGGGTCTCTGTAACAAAGCTGTGTACCCAAGAGAGGTGTCAGTTTTCTTATAAAAGTTTCAGTCCTACAGTATGTGCATCCATGTGGCCACTAAAGGGTCACGTAGTTTTTATCTAGAGCCACTTCAGTCTTAACATGGTTACAATGTGTTTGATTCACATAAATATCCTCGTTAGAGCTCAGGGCAATGATTTGTGCCATCAATGACTCCACGTCCAGCGAAACCAGAGATTTACACAGAGAATGCTATTGAAGGCTCTGTCTTCCACTCTCAAAGCAGGACCCAAACTGTACCTTTCTGAGAATTTTTGGCCGGTTAGGTGTGAGTTCCTACTCTGAGACACTTGATAAACATGGGCCCAGAGCTCTGTTCATACCAGTCAAGTTGTTCCAAACTGACCTGTGGAAGCCATTTTCTTATGGAGCTGTTTTGTGCATAGCTTTTCTGTCATGAAGAAAAAGGAAAAGATGGAGGAGTGGGATGATTTCCAGCTCCACAGAGAACGGGTCATCTGGCCGAATGGATCAGGGTCCGTCCTGGCGATTTGAGCATCTTCTGCTTCCATCTCATACACAGAGATTCTCACATTACATTGCAGACATTGCTTCTGTACTCGGCACAGACCTTAGTGACTTCCTCATGTAGAGCAGAGTTAATGTTAATGGTAACATGTTCAGAATCAGAATCAGCTTTATTGGCCAGGTGTGTTGGACACACAAGGAATTTGAGTCTGGTGCATCGGCTCTCAATGTGAATGTACAGTACATATCCCCATGCAAGGGGCAAGTAAACAGTAAACCAACATAAGGCTGTGTAATATAACAAAATAAGCAGTATTAACAAGCAACAAACAGTGCAAACAATACAAAATAAGCAGTATAAATGTTCTTTATTCACTGACAAGCTAAAGCGGCAGGAAAAAAGACCTTCTGAGTAGCTTGATTTCTGCACCTGCTGGCAACAGGAGCAGCTGAACCCACTTGTTAGAGCAGGTGGAGACCAGGTGGAGACACATGACTGTTCCGCTCACTCTCTGGTTGCTCTATATTTGCTGTCCAGCAATTATGTTAACATCTGAAATTAGAGTGCCAGTGTATGTTGTATTATAGAGCTTTGAAATGACCAGGATATGTACTTGTTTTCTGCTTAATCAGTGTGTCATATTTCATATAAGTGAAGATCACAGTCATTGTGGCGTGAACCACAGAGGTTTCAGCCACAGCGTGTCTTTATGCACAGCTGGTATATTTATAGGTAAAGGCCAGAAATACTTCATGTATGCTTTATTACAGTGTTTCTCACAGTGTTTCTCATATGGTCACGAGCATGTTTCAGGTGGGTTGTGAGAGACATGCTAAAAAAAAATAAAATGGCTTTTGAGAGCGATATATTGTTGTGGATTCAAATGCTTAGGTAATATCTAACATGGGGCTTTTGTTTTGAAATGCGTGCATGCATGATATGCAGAGGCCTAACCTTGCCTTGACGGGCGGGTGACAGTGTACACTCACTGAAGATAGGTCCACTTGTTAAGAAGATGGCGAAGCGAAAATATGATTCGGACTATGTTAAGTATGGATGTACGTAGTTACATAGATGATAAAAATGGACATAAGCCTCAATGTGTGATATGCAGTGAAGTATTGGTACAAGAAAGTATGAAGCCACCCAAGTTAATCAAATCAAATTTTATTTGTATAGCACCAAATCACAACAAAAGTCATCTCAGGACACTTTACAAAGTAAGGTCTAGAGTCTAGACCTTACTGTTATCACTATTATTAGAGGGAAAACCCAGCAAAATCTGAGAGAAAAGAAAGAAAGCAACAGGACACGACAAACAATCAAACACTGGTCAGGTTGATGTGGCCGGTGACTGCTTATCAGAAACATACAGCTCCAGAGCCAGGGCAACCTGGTAAAGGAAGAGAGAGAAGACACACTATGGGAGAGAGGAGACTGACTGGTTTAGTGACACATCTTGTTAGGTGTCGGACAAGGGAGGACCCAAAATGCAGACATGGTCTGGAGTCTAGTGTTTATTCAGTTATTCAGAGGAGAGGAGAGGGGAGGGGAGGAGAGACACTCAGAGCATCATGGGCCCCCCCAGCAGCCTAGACCTATAGCAGCATAACTAAGGGAAGGCTCAGGGTCACCTGATCCAGCCCTAACTATAAGCTTTATCAAAAAGGAAAGTCTTAAGTCTAATCTTAAAGGTAGAGAGGGTGTCCGCCTCCTGAACTGAGACTGGGAGTTGGTTCCATAGGAGAGGAGCTTGATAGCTAAAGG